AAGCTAGGCTATAGCAACGTAATTCATATTTCATTTATTTGGTTTAGTGTTTTACCTTACATTTTCTTTTTGCCAGATAGATACGACTAATTAGACATATTCTGGAAGGCCAAAAACCTTAAAAAAGGAAACATGAAACTATTTTAAACACAGCCGGCCGTCACGTATGACATTCGAACCATAAACAGTAATTAAATGAATGATTTATAACATGGTCTACACAGATGCATGCCTATATAAACGCAAGACATTGGTACAACTGGAGACCAGGATATCTTCTGATTCCATATACTTCTATCTAATTTCTTGAAGATAATTTGAGTTTTCGGTCGACGTACGTTAATTAGGAATGACGCCAATTATAGTTCCTGAAGTAACGTTGATCTCCTGTGACATGACGATGCCAGTGATCGGCATGGGGACTTCACCGTACCCTAAAGTCGACCCTGAAACAGCCATAGCTGCAATTCTTGAAGCAATCAGAGCGGGCTACCGCCACTTCGACACCGCCTTTGTTTATGGGTCAGAGCGAGATCTGGGGGGAGCCATAGCTGAAGCACTGCGTCTTGGACTTGTCAAGTCCAGGAGTGAGCTCTTCATCACCACCAAGCTTTCTGCCAGCTTTGCTGAAAGAGACCTTGTAGTGCCTGCCATCAACATGAGTTTAAGGTTTGACCGATAGTATTAAGGGCTCGTTTGATAACATTTCAGTTTTCAATTTTAAAATTTCACAAAAATAGCTATTATTTTTAAATTTCCTAATAAAGTGAAAAATGAAAACGAAATATTTATCAAATAACCTCTAAATGAAAGTTGAAACCCTAGCTAATTAACTTTTTTTGCTAATAGTTAACCCTATTAAATCATGAACGAATTATGTAGGAATCTGCAATTGGAGTACGTGGACATGTACATAATACATTGGCCCTTCAAACTGGGGAAAGTGGTGAGCTCTATGCCAGTAGAAAAGGGAGTGCTGCTACCCTTAGATATCAAGTCAGTTTGGGAAGGCATGGAAGAATGCAAGAGACTGGGCCTTGCGAGGGGCATTGGCGTCAGTAACTTCACTTCCGAGATGCTTGAAGACCTCCTTTCCATCGCCAAAATCCCTCCCGCCCTCAACCAAGTATACTTAGATCATCTCCAACCGATCTGAGCCTCCAAGAAATTAATATTTTAATGAACAGTGCATGACCATATTTCTTATCATCTCCAACCAAGGGCCAAAGGGCTTGTTTTAGCCATGTCACAAAAAACCGTCTCCAACCGAGGGCTAAAGGGTTATAGTATGGAATGTGAAAAATTGAAATAAAAGTAAGATAGTATGAAATGGTGAAAAATATGTGAGAAATAGTGTAGGAAAAAAATTAGAAATTAAAAAAAAAAAAAGTGAGTTGGGCAAATGAAAAAGAACAAAAAAAAATGTGGGCTAGCTAGCGGACTAGCTGGCTGAAGATGGCCAACCGGTTGGCCCTTTGGCCATTTTTTGTCACATGAGGTCCACGAGCCCTTTGGCCTAGCCCTCGTTGGACGGCTTTAGGGCTATTTTCGGCCATCTGACCCTCTGGACCCTTCAGTTGGAGATGATCTTACATTCCTACTTTATGATCAGTTATTTTTTTATGCATGCATGCATAAGGCTATATGTTTTATTTCTTAATTCATTTGTATGTTAAAATATACAGTTGGAGATGAACCCACTTTGGCAGCTGAAGGAACTGAGGGAGTTCTGTAAGGCGAAGGGCATTCATGTGACGGCCTACTCTCCGTTAGGGTCAACCCCGTCTAGATTTGGAGACAACAAAGTCTTAGGCTCAAAAGTTCTCCAGGACATGGCCAAAGCCAAAGGAAAAACAACTGCTCAGGTGCCTAGCTAGTTAATCAGTGTTGAAGCATTATATCTCACCAAGTTAAATTCCCTAATAATGAATGGTTCCACAGTACACATGTAACTAAGTTAGGAAATTATATCGTTTCAAATTAGTAGTGGACCAACAGACTGTCTCTGAAACTTTAACAATTAGCACTACTACTTTTGTCTATTACACACACACACACACACACAAAACATATTTCTAGCTTAGCATTGCACTAATTAATTTTTCTTCTTTTTAATGATATGCAGATAGCGTTGAGATGGGTGTACCAGCAGGGGGTGAGCTTGGTAACAAAGAGTTCCAACAAGGAAAGAATGAATCAGAACCTTGACATCTTCAGTTGGTCCTTGACTGAGGAGGAATTAGACAAGATTAGTCGTCTTCCTCAACACAAAACAATCACCTTCGCCTCAATTATGGGACCGCATGATGTTGTGCTCCGGATTGATGCTGGATTATGATCAATCGATCATTTCGGACGTTCATTTCATTGATGACTTCATCCTCACTGGGGTTTTTCTCTTTCTTTTGCTATTCAGAATTCCATAAGTTTCCGCAAGTTCCACACTTGTTTGGAACTTATGGCATATATATATATGTACGCTTTACTCTTATCAATCTTTGTGTAAGAATTTGGATTTTGTCGGGTTTGCACGTTGTTTATATATTTTATATCGTGTCTTGAACACAGGCATAATAAATTTTCTGCTTTTTGAGTACAGACTTCGTTTGGATTGGATGTGTATATGTGAAGCTCATTGGCTTAGTTTTATAATCTTTAATTAACTTTTCCATTGTGTTGGATGCTAGAAATGTAGGTACTGGAGACCGGAGAGTATATTTTTGTGTTCGCGATTGTCATGATAAATATGATATTTCTCTTTTACCTATTGCGTTTTGGACTAAAACTTTTCTGTCTCCTTTTAGTCTAATTTAGAGTAATATTATCATCTGAGATATAATAGAGGAATGTCATCTACCTTTTCTATTTACTTTTCTCACTCATCACGCTTGACACATGTATTTCACTAGCAAATTAAACTACATAATTAACACTACTCGTACCATTTATTTGTATCATTTCTCTAATAGTGATGGAACCCACATGCATTGGTGGATCCTACCTTTATTAAAGAGATAGTACAAATAATGGTACGATTAGATGGTAAGTGTAGCATTACTTTATAATTAGTAATGCATTAAAGTCATAAATTCTAATTTAATAGTGTTATTCACATACTCATTTTCCACCTTAAAAGCATGAATTGTGTAGTTTAATTTATTAGTAGAATATACGTGTCAAGTGATGAGTGAGAAAGGTAGATAGGGAAATACAAATAGAAAATGTAGCTAGCATTCCTCTTATTACATTTGAAAATTACAAACATAATTAAGAATATTGATGTCCTAAATTTGTCAAACCATCCACCAGTGTATAAGCTTCGCATGATGTTGAACTTAGGAAGTTGCCTTGAAAATGTCAAATTTTATGTATATTATGGATAAAATTTTCCACAAAATTTAAATTTTTTGGAATCAACTTGTTTAAAATTTTTAAAATGTATACAACATGTTTTGTTTGTTGTTAACTTGTTAGATTGTTATAAAGTGACCATGATTCTACATAGGTACAACTGGAAGCCAACACATGGTATACTTCTATATATATGTGATATATTGAGGTGGGTGTATCGTGTGCGAGCAAGCTGTGAACATGGTAACAAAAAGCTAAACAAGGAAAGAATGAATCAAAATCTTGACATCTTCGATTAGTATTTGACTGAGGAGAAATTGGACAAGATTGATCATATTCCTCAGCGCTAAGGAATTACCTTTGCCTCAATTTTTGGCCCTCATGATCTACTTCTTGAGATTGACGCTGAATTATGATTATTGTTTGATCCCATGCTCTTGGCGGGAAAGAAATAAAGAACAAAAACTTCATCTAAAAATTTAGGATGGCGCTAAACACACTCTTCTTCATCTCTTACATATTCTGTTAATTTTTATCTTTTGATCTTCTCCAATTTATTTAATTTAACGATTAAGAAATTAAGATGAATCTGTGAAATGTAAAAAAAATATCGAATGAATAGCACTATCCAAAATTTAAAGTCAATGCTTTTTTAAAGACCTTTTGGTTGATTGGAATAGTATACTTCTTTGACCGGTGAATCTGAGAAATAATATTCCTAGCTGGTGGAGTCATTGTTTTATTGTGTCAAGAATTACTATTATATATAGAGATGTTTCCATATGAAAGTTGAATTATTGTTTATATATAAAGATGTAAGTAAAAAAAAAAATATATATATATATATAAAGATGTAAGTAAAGCAAATTTTATACTTTAACAAGTTTAATTAATTTAGTTATTCTTGTAGGAGATTCTTTTATAATTAAAACAAATTGGCATTTTGTTTTTACAATAATATTTTACACTATAGAGTAGTTTGGGTCAAGCAATATGGAGGATGATTCTCTTCCCTCCTAATCTCTCTCCCTTTCCCTTTCTTCCTATTTGAATGGTTACAGTTAAGTCACGTCAACATCTTATATTAATTTTTTTATAAAGACAATAAGACAAAAAAAAAATATGTGAGAGGAGGGGAGGGAAGGGGATGAAAATAGAAAGAGGGAGAATCCTACTCCCAGGCAATATAATGAGTCCGTCATAGGAATAATGATATCCTACGAACCTAATACATGCGAGAGAATATTCTATAACTTTTGTGTCTATTTGTGAGAGCCATCAGGTTTATACTCTGATATCATGAAGAAGTTGAGGTTCATCATAGAATTAAATGGCAATATGGGGAGTAATACATTTATTTATAAACACATGAAAGATCCATCCTCCTATCAATGTGGAGTTCATTCTCAACACGGCCCCTCGCGTGTGATGAATTTTTAAGCTAACTCGCGGACAACACAATAGGCGTGACGTGAATATGCATGGCATTTAGACTTCACACATGGAACAACATGGTCTGATATTACGTAGAAATATAACTCTTTATATTGATGTGGTAAATATTACCATATATATAAACGAAAATCCTACACTAAGTACAATCGAAAATCTAAACCACAGACTAGGGTAAGCTAATATGGAAAGAGTCATTTCAGAGAGTGGGTAAAATGTGGCTACACAACAAGCTCTTTTGTTCCCCCACATTAACGCTTCTATTCTATTACATACATTTAGTGTAGAATATTTGAGGCAAACCCTAAAATCCCCCAAATAATCCGACCGCCTGAAGCAAACGCGCAACAGAGGGCCCGAAAGACTTGATTCAGGAAAGCTCGCTGCTTCCTCTGCTTCTGACGGCACCCTTCGCCTACCTTCTAACAAAAATGACGACTTTTTCCTATGATAAAAAAAGGAAGAAACGAGGACCTACTTACCATAACAATCAACCGACCACCTACTCACACACACTTGATGGACTTGTAAATGTGACGAACAAACAGCAAAGCCGCGCGAAAACCTACTGTGCCAAGCATGAGGAAGAAGCCGGAGCAAATGCAAGCCATGTAACCGAAAGAACGACGTTTGCATAACGCCAGACATATCTGATCGGGCGTAATAATAATACAAGCAGTAGCCATAGATGAAGAGGCAAGTAGATCCACCGCATAGGAAAGACCTGTTGCAAATAAAATTCAACATTATTTACTTTTGAAAGAAAATGACACTCACACTGATCTAATAATAATCTTCTTGATTATTTTGGGTGCATTTTACTCACACTAATCTTAAGTAGTGGTATTATTGTTCACCACCCTAATTATTATTATTAGATGAGTTTAAGAGTTTTGAGATTTATGTTTACTCACTACATAGATCTTTAAACTCATCAAACAGTGTAAATAGAATGGTGAAATGACAATCACTTGAACATGGTCAGCAAAATATTCTCCATATACAACGCACCTTTGTGAAAGCATTAACCCACAGTTGGGAAAAAGGATTCCAAATCCAAAATTAGTTTTCCACTAGCAAGTGAGGCCGGCGCGATGCTGCGGGTTTCAAAATGATCTTAAACGTGTAAAAAGTAGGGCTTATATACATGAGAAAAATTGGGATGGTCGTACGCCATAGCCAGAGAGTTCTATTTACATTCATATATTACATGCAAAAAGTTGAGGATGTTAGTATGTCATCCTTAGGGATTGTTTTTCAAAAGCTATGGTCCTATCCCAAGGAGACTTTTACGTCTAAAACTGTACAAAGCTCAAAAAGTAAGATTTGTTCTACTAAAGACACCCATATACGTAACTCCTCCATCTTGGATGACAACGATGAACTGAAAAAAAAAAAATTGACATAAGAATTGAATGACTCTAAATTGCATATATTTTGCTACCATACTAAATAAACTCTCTATTTTCCAGTTGGCCTCATCGACAACCCAAATGAAATATTTATAAGGAAAACTAATGAAAAGGGCTTGAAAACTTTGAGTTTTAATGATAAGGACAAAATAAAGGGTAAAGTGAATAGTAACAGGTTTGACTTTTTAGTGTAAAAATATGGTTTTTCGTTAAAGTGAACAGTACCGTGGGCTTTTCGTTAAAACTCCCATATTTATATCTATATTATGCAATATTTATAAGATATAGTTATGTGTTAGAGAAACTACTCATTGAAGATGGGAAAAAAATTGTTAAGATATAGTTCAGTCTATACCGAATCAATCTCAATTTGTCAGTGTTATACCTGCTCTCCATATAGAAGTTAGGTCTAATATAGTTGTTATCATCTCTTATGTTTCTTTGGTAAAAAAAAACGTTATTTCATTCCAAAACCTTGAAAAACAACCTAAAAGCATCGGTATGACCTCAAGTGAAACTGGTGCCCTTTGTAATTATGTAGTTGGTATATAATTTCTCACCTCAGATTTGTATATTGACCTTATACTCACTTAAGCTTCAAAAAAACATCCATCAGTCCTAAACCACACATTCAACGTACTTAAGTTTTTTAAAGCCTACAAATTGAAAATACAATGGAAAAAGAATGAATCTTGGTAAAAACGAAACTCCAAACTATTTTTGGAACTTAATCCTCTAAACTATGACCAACAGCCTTTGAGATTAAAATTTAGAAGACCAGGCAATACTGTTTCCACGTTCTGCCTCTGAGCTTAATTTATCAATAATCTAAGTTCAAAAATGGTAAAAGTGAGGAAACATACCTATCACCCTGCTCTCTGTGATCTATGAAATCCAAGTTCTGCTACGTGACCCTCTGCTTAGTCACTTCTAGAGGCAAACGCCCTGAAAAGGTTTAGAGTAGTAGCAGATTGGTAATAGGCTCTCATCAGCCTCTAGGCCTCTGAAGATCAAAAATACCATAAACTTAATCTTTACCAAAAGCTATAAAAATAAAAATAAAAACTTAAATAAAATATAACTCTCCCAATTTAGCCAAGAAATATTTGCCGCACCACTAAATATTTCGCAATTACCTCTGTACATAATCTTGTTGGGGTTTTACCTGTGTGCTTTCTTTTCTTTATTAATTTCCCTATCTCTCTCTCTCTTACTTCAAATCTTACTTCAAATCTTGCATCTCCAGAACAATCCCCAGAAGATAACTTTAATTTGCACAGAAATCTTTGAAATCTAAAGTAGAATAAATTGCTTACCTTCCGTAAATACAGTTATCCGAAACGACGCGGATGCACTGGTGGTAAGTCGGCGTGTGATGTCCAGCGATTAGCCGCCGGGGGGTTGTTACCATCCTTCAAGGCAACCAGAATTTTCACATAAAATCACATAAAAAAAAGCCCCAAAACCTTAAGAAAAGATTAGGGGTTCTCAATTTCTTACCCAAATCCACAAATTTGAATCAAATCTCTGCTACCCAGCTTGAAATCCCTTTGAAATGACCTACACGAACACAGATCTTACATGCAGAACATTTTAAATGAAGTTGTGAGAAGGGTTGATGGAAATTGAGGAAACAACCAAATTCCAATCAAAGTTTAGACATGCATTCAGAAATTCACACCCATAAAAACGTTTCAAAGCTTACCGATGATGTTGGGGTGGAACCGTGAAAGTGAAGGGGGAAAGAAGAGGCGGTCGGATTCAGATGTAAACTCCTGTAAAACCACCCTTCTCTTAAACCCCTGAAGACTAACTCTTACATCATTTATAGTGCAAAATTTTAGAATTTTAAAGAATCAAAACATACCTAAGATTTGGTGATTGGATGACTGTGAGGGCCTCAAAAAATACAGGGAAGCTAGCGGATTCGCCGGAAAACCTCGCCGGAATCTAGGTAACGGATTGAGCTTCAATCTTTTTCAAACCTTCACCAAATCGTACATGAAAGCCACGAAATCTTGACCTAGAAAGTAAGAATGGGCTCAGACTTGAGTTCGTGAGGTCGAAGGGATGAGAATGGTGATTGTTTTGGGTGTACCTGGGTTCGTGGGTGGGGTTGGGGGTTTTCGGGATGTTGAGAGAGCGAGAGGAAGAATGATGATCAGCAGAGAGAATAAGATTACAAAATATGGATGGACTGATTTCTTATCACACTGCCCAAAAACAATGAACGGTCCAGATTCAATCAGATTTAAATTAGACTAATATTGAAATTACAGACAAATAAGCGAGGGCAAAATCGGAAATTCACTGTGCTTATGAACAGTGATTCAGGCGTTTTTCTCTTTTAGTATAGATTGAATTTGCACGGTTCCACACATGTAAAAGGAGATCGCAGTTTATTTTTGAAGTCTACTTCATATTTGGTTGCTCAATGTTTCCCAAGTCATGTTTATTATTGATTCTTGACCAACAAATAAAATGCTTATTTTGACAAAAAAATGAGTCAAGGTTATTGACTTATTGGCTAAATAGCCAAAATGGTTCCTGAGATTGTCCATTATCCATCATTTTGGTCATTCCGTTAAAAACTCCGTTAAGTGTCCCGAAGCTCTTAACCGGAAGTTTGGGCAATTTTCAAAGTTTCGTAACTCAATCGTTTCTTAACCAAATTCGACCCATAATATATCAAAATGAAAATAGGAAAATATAGAATAAGATTATATCTATTTGGAAGCCTAATGGTTGCCGGAGATGGCCGGAAAATAGCCTCAAAGTTGACTGGTCCGAGGGAAAACTGGAAAACTTGCCAGAAACTAGGTAAACTTTAAACGTTCACAACTTCTTCAATACTCAACGAAATCAAGTGATTCAAAAACGAAAATCATACTTCTGGACGAGACGAAGAGAATGATTTCTTTTTTTATGGCTAACTCACCGTGGTTTGGCCAGAAAACGGCTCGAAAGTGGCTGTCTTCGAAGACTATTTTATAATATTATTTTATTTATATTATGACACGTCGTGTATCATCGCGTGTTTCGAATAAAGTGACAAATCGTCATGCATGTCAAGGAGTTTGACTGTTCGACGAGCTTACATTATGGGATGGAAAATTGGAAATCCTGGACATAAGAAAAAAAAATTATGAAAGAGTCGATTAACAACATAACAGAAATCAACACTTTTTCCAACTGCCAATTAATTAACCAGGTGGTTATGAAGGGTTCTTCCCACGCTTTATTGAATTAATTCATGCTTCCTCTTAAGTCTTGAAATTAAGTATCTGAATCCAACTGAGCTATCATTTCTAAAAGTCAAAACAGATTAAAAAGTAGGAATTTAGTTCGATGATCAGGTCTTTATACGTAGTTTGTCTCGTTTAATTCGTCGTTCTATTTTGAATGCGATCTTTCCTCCATCTTTCTTTATTTATATTGAAAATTTTATATAATAATTAATATCGGGTGAGCTAAAAAAGGTCAAGAATTACAATCGAGAATTTTTAGTTTTCATTTCATATAATAAGCAGCTAATCGAGCCTGGGTCAACTTTAGTTTGTCTTTATTCGACGGTTACATGTTACTCATTCTTCAACTGGAATGTTCTGTTTTACATATTCAGGTCTTTGCTTGCTAGAAATCGTAGGCCGCCAACAATGCCGTAATTAAAATTTCAAGTAAGCAATTCAACTTCTGAACCATTACTTAATGTCTAATAACACCAATTTCAACTTCTAAATCATTAATTAATCTCTAATAATATAAATTTCAACACGTTTATATAGAGATGAACGTATTGGAGCCAAATTTTATATTTTAACACGTTTAATTAATTTAGTTATTCGTGTAAGAGATTCTGTTGTAGTTAAATACAAATTGGCATTTTGTTTGTACAATAACACTTTACACTATAGAGCAATTTGGGTTGGGCCATATAATGAGTTCTTTGTAAGAACAATGGTATTCCACGAACCTAATACACGCGAGAATATTCTATCATCTTTGTGTTTGTGTGTTAGAGCCATCAGGTTTACCATCTGATATTATGAAGAAGTTGATGTTCTATTATAAAATTAATTGGCAATATGGGAAGTGATCAATTTTCTTATAAGCACAGACAATGTCACTTCTTCCATCAACGTGGGATTTATTCTCAACACACCTCTTGCATTTGACGAATTTTCAAGCCACATACGCGAACAACACAAATGGGGTGACATGAGCATGTGTGAACATCATGCTTTCACATGCAGGACTACTAGGTAGAAATATGACTCTTTGTATTGTTATGTGAAATATTAGAATATATAGGCAAGACTTCTACACTAATTACAATTGGAAATTACATTCCTATAATACATGCAACAATTATAAAAATAATATTAATTAACTCTATAGTGGTGCTATCCACACGTCATTTATTACTTTTCACACACCCTTTGTTGATTTCTATCCCTTTATCTTTATCAATTCATTCGATCCAATGATCAAAAATTGAGAGGAGTGTGTGAGAGGTAAAAAAAGATTGAGGATAGCAGCACTCTTTAACGATAGTATTACAATTTAGCTCAACTAACAAGTTTAAGGAATATTATCATCAAAGTAGAACTTTCGTAGAACTTATGAACTATAAATGTATGGGCACTCACTTAAGAAATACCCTCCAAAACAGGCGTATGCTGCTTTAAGCGATGAACACACACAGTATTCTTAAGTAAGGGGCGAAAGAATAGTTCGCTCTATGCTCACCGCACGGCTGCATACGTTTAAATGAATCTGCTGCTCGCCGAATGGCTGTGTATGGTAGCCATTGTATTGTAATGTTTACCCTATCTATATACAAATTTGGTGTTAACTAACTGGTCGTAGGTTCAAATCCTACTTGGAGAGATTTGATTCATTCCAAAAGTTGAAACCGAAACTACATCTACTAGAGCTAGAGGAGCCTCCCTTCATATTTTCGGATCCTCGTTTTTTTTTTCGAGTACATCAATATTTTTATACTAAGGAAAAAAGAGTTTGGTAAAACCACACAATGAACATCTTAATTTGGTATCGAATTCGCATTTCACAAGATTCGAATCTAAGACCTCTTACTTCCAAATAAAGAAGAATACCATCAGACCTAAATGGCTTTTCGGATCCTCGTATTAGCTAATAACAAGTCATCTAGGCAATTATAATATTTGGATGTAATCAAGGACAATTGCTCATCCAAAACGTAGGTTTGTTTCCTTCCTTCCGATCGATTATTTGATTTGAATGTAAAATGCTAATTAGAAAAAACAGTAAGGGTAAGCTAATATGGAAAGAGTCATTTCAGAGAGTGGGGTAAAATGTGGCCATACAGCAATCTCTTCTGTTCCCCCCACATTCATACTTCTATTCTACGACATACATCTAGTGAAGAATAGTTAAGGCAAAACCCTAATTCCCCAAATTTTCCCAAACGCCTGAAGCAAACGCGCAACAGAGGCCCCGAAAGGACTTGATTCGGGAAAGCTCGCCCATTCCTCTGCTTCTGAAGGCACCCTCTCGCCTACCTTCTGACAAAAATACCGACTTTTTCCTATCATAAAAAAGGAAGAAACGAGGACCTGGTCGAAAGACCCATCAACTGACCACCTACTCACACTTGATGGACTTGTAAATGTGACGAACAAACAGCAAAGCCGCGCGGAAACCTACGGTGCCAAGCATGAGGAAGAAGCCGTAGCAAATGCAAGCCATGTAACCGAAGAAGAAAGACGTTTGCATAAAGCCGGTCATATCTGAACGGGCGTAGTAATAATACAAGCAATACCCATAGATGAAGAGGCCAGTAGATCCACCGCATAGGAAAGACCTGTCGCAAACCAAGAACTCTCATTAGTCCAGCCACACAAGTGATAGAAAGAGGAAGACATAATAAATATATGCTCTGCTGTATGTAGGGATGAAAAACTCTATACTATCACACAAATTTCAATGAATAATAAGGAAGAAGAAAAATCATAATGCAGCAAGGCACAAATCATGGTACAAATGGAAAGAAGAACTATGATAATCCAAAAATCGATTCAGTCTCATTAATCCTGTCTAGAGAACATCAATAATCTTGCTTTCGCCTTTGCATAATCGGAAGTATAACTGTACTTTCTATGAAATATCGTTCCTTGAATTTTAAAAATAGAGCTCCCTCTGATGCTATCAATTACATAATCATGCTTTTCAAGAACCTCGTTAGTCTGTTATCAGAAGGTATAAGAATATTAACCATGAAATCACCCGTACACAGGATGGATCACGGAGAATATGATAATCTCTACCCCTCTGAATTACAAAGCAAATGTGGTAGATACCATACTTGGGACAAAAGCATGTCCTTGCTAGTCAACCTCTCATAAGATAGCCTACTTACAAAATACAGCAACATAGTAGCTTCATAGGAGTCACGAAGAGCTGGCTTCAGAGTCATAACTCAAAAGTAACGACACTAGCACTGAAAGCACATAACATTATAGAGGAAACAACTTGACAACCCCGAAGACCGTTAGTACCAAACAACTTCATCTATTGGATTTCAGAAATTCTCGTACTTCGAAACATATTATGAGCATTTCTTCTATCTTATTTATTTTTGCTTCAAATCCACAGCATAAGTTTAACTTAGAAAACACTTAGCAAAAGAAAAAGCTTGAAACAAAGCAGAGAACTGAACCTAACTTCTAGGATATAAGCAATGTAACCTAGAATAGAAGCAAGAAACTTAATGCAAGAAAGATGTGTTTACCTCCACCACCACCAATGATCTTCAGCAGCAAGTTGGAAATAGGTCAAAGCCACAGTTATAAAGGCAGTGACAATCAAAAGAATAATAAATACAATAAACAGGATGCTGTAGATTGTGTAAATCCTGTGACCCCAGACGCTGGCAAATATGTAGTAAAGTTCAATGTATATTGCACTGAAAGGGAGAAACCCAGCCATTGCCATCTGAGGAATGGTAGTCCTGTACCATGGAAGAGGTGGAATTTCTCGAGGATACTTTGTGGTGCGAACAGGGGCTTGAAACTCAGCCTTGCTGTTTTTCCCGGCGATACCACCCAAAACAAGCAATGGTGATGTTACCAATGTCCAAATAAGGACAATTACCACAATAGTACCAAAAGGAAGGGCTGCGGTTGCACTATAAGCAATTGCAACAGTGTTAAGGAAGCAGAAAGTCAGGAACAGAGGCCCGCAGAAAAGGCACCCAGTAAGTAACAAATTTCTCACCTGTCAAAAAGAAAATGGAAACTAAATGATTCCGTTTCACTTTAAAAGCATAAACTATAAGCTGTATTTGTCGCCGAACAGAATCTGGTTAACTTACCCAGTTTTTTCCTTCAAGCTGACAATAGAAAGAAGTTGCAGTATATCCCGCAATGCCAGAAGTCAGTGCATATATGACCACAAGCGCAGTGAATAAAGCTCCTCGGTTGTATGGATAAAATACACCAACCAGTGCGAGCATAAAGATGAATATTGTGCTGGAAATGAATAAAGGAAGAGAGAGTAGCCTTTAATACTAACATGTAATAAAACGAAATTCATAAATCTAAAAGAATGAAATAAGATCCTCACAGAGTGAACAGCTGGGTTCCAGAACCATGGGCAGCAGCAAACAAAGATTTGTGCTGGGGGAACCGGAAAACATCACCATGAATGTACTTCCATCCAGTCTCTTCTTGGTCATCCGCAGCTTCCTCATCTTGTGCATACCTTATTAAGAAATTAAATAGATGATAAGTGACAACATCAATCTAAACAGAAAACCAGGAGATTTTCAGAAAACATCAAGCTCTCAAGGCACAGAAAATAGATCTCACTTCATGAAATCGTTCTTCAGGACTCGCATGAGAATTGTTGCAAGAAAACCCGTCAAAAGGAGAACCGTGACGCATGAATTTATGATTGAGAACCAATGAATTTCCAAGTGATGTGGCAGTGAAGAGGACTGTGAGTATTTATCCATTCTATTCTCGAAGGGAATGTTTGTATCCGCCCATTTTACACTGTACATGAAATCCGCATCAACATCCTTGTCCTCTGTCAAGTCTACAACAGAATGAGGATCCATCTTGGCGGTGATTTCAATCACACGGTCTTTATTGTACCGAGCATCAAATTGGATATGCTTGTAAAGAAAATATTTGTATTCCCTGGGGTCAGTTTTTCCTTCCTTGTCAACCTTTCCCAAAAAGCCCCAGATGGGCAAATCATCATAATACATTTGGAAGTAGTAGTCTTTTTTCACAGCAGTTCGAAACTGTGCAACTTCTTCCTTGGTCAGCATCCTTCTACAAGCAACCTCAGAGTCCTTATCTTTTCTGAACTCAAGATTATAGGGAGCACTAACAAGCCGATCCCCATTCAACACCTCTCCGAGAGCCTCCCTCTTCTCCTTCACATCACCTAACATTTATGTCCATTCGCCAACAAATTAATAACCAAAAGAGACAATAACACAGCAAATGCATCAAGAAACAAACTCCGCGATAAGAACTACAATCAAGAGCTGCATCATTATCATAATTTTAAAACCCAAAACTTTGCTTCTATCGATCAGAAATGTGTATAGGGACAATCACTCCGCAGTTCCCAACATATTAACTCCCCGAAATAGAAATTCCAAGTGAAAAATCCTCAAGACAAGCTACTATTTCAGAATTTTATGCACATCTTTTCTAATTCGCAGCTAAAATTTACTATTGCATACGGAACGAGGAATGTAAAGGCAAAGAATTTGAGATGCAAAACCTGCTGAGCAGAAGGGCAAATCAAAATATCGATACGTTTCGCTGCAACCAAACAAACAGATACAAAGGCAGATTAATAATCTTCAAAAATCAGAAATTGCACGAAGAATTTCAGAAAATGGAGACTGAAATCCAGATCCGAAGTCAGATCTGGATGAGACTCGATAGGGTTACCTGGGGTTGTGGAAGGGGCCGACTTTGTTGGCGTAGAGGGGGACGGCGTCGCCTTCGTTGTAGCGGTGGTCGGAGGCGTCCGATCTCACGAGAGTGGCGGTGCACGCGATTAGAACGGCGAGTGGAAGAGCGGTCAGGAGGTTCTTCATGGTCTCGACGGAGAAGAAGAAGAAGAAGATCGAGTGATACTTTTTCAACTGGAGAAAGTGTGAGCCAATGAACGAAGGAACTAAAGCAACCGGATAATTATATATTTTTTAAATAATTACTTTTATTTATTTATTTTCTTTCTTTCTTTCTTGTCAGCGACTCGGCGGCAACAACAACTTTTGTTGTGGGATTAGAGGATCCTATATTTCTTTTTCTTTTCTATTTTTTCTAGTTGCAAAAGCCATATTTCAATTTTACCGCATAAATATTTGGCGTTTTAATTAATTATTCAAAACCTAAACTTTTAGCCTATAAATTTTAGATTTTAATCCAAAATAATGTTTGGTCCTATATGATTTTGACATGAAATTTTTGTTCGAGATTATTAAAAATTTAATTTAGGCAAAAGAAAAATATTGGTAACTTTTTTTATATATAAATAAGATTCATGTAGATTATTTTAAATTAAAAATATTTAGATTCCGATAAATATTGAAAAATTAATAAATCTACTTAAAACGATTTTTTAATTGTTTTAGTTGTTGGATCTAAATTTGAATCGTTAATTCTTTATTTACCGTTAAATGTGATCATATTCAATCTCAGCAATTGAATTTTTTATTTAATTTACAAATTAAAATTAAAAAACTAAAC